CGACCATTTTCAGTACGCCATGTTTTGCTTGCTGGTTTTGATGTGCTTTGGGGACAAGTTGAAGGAAGAGCAGATTAAAGAAATCGAGGGCGTTCAGCGCCGCTTGCAATTGAACTTTAGGCGATTCAACTTCCTCAACTTTTGGCCCAAATTGACAAAAATTTTGTTGAAAAATCGTTGGAACGCGCTATTTCAGCTCCGTAAGGAACTAGAAGAAGTGTTCATTCCTATGATTCGAGGACGACAGAAAACGAAGAATGAAAGGCTGAGTAGGAAGGACGACGACAAAGATGATGACTTTGTGTTGGCGTACGTTGATACCTTGTGGGATCTCCAGATTTCTGATGAGAAGGAAAAGAGGAAGCTCTCTGAAGTTGAAATAGTGAGTCTCTGTTTGGAGTTTCTCGGTGCGGGTACTGATACTACTTCGACTGCGTTGGAGTGGATCATGGCCAACATAGTCAAGTGCCCACAAGTCCAAGACAAGCTCTTTGCAGAGATTAAAGGGGTGGTGGCGGAAACAGAGGAAGAGGTGAAAGAGGAGGTCTTGCAGAAGTTGCCGTATCTGAAAGCTGTAATATTGGAGGGTTTGAGGCGTCACCCGCCGGGGCACTTTGTGCTGACACACGCCGTCACCCAGGATGTGGTTTTGGATGGTCATGTGGTGCCCAAGAACGGTAGTGTCAATTTCATGGTGGCTGATATGGGGTTGGACCCAGAGGTGTGGGAGGACCCCATGGCATTCAAGCCTGAGAGGTTCTTGAGTGGTGGTGAATGTGGAGGAGCGGAAGGGTTCGATTTAACAGGGAGCAGAGAGATTAAGATGATGCCGTTTGGGGTGGGGAGGAGAATTTGTCCCGGCTCTGGTTTGGCAGTGCTTCATCTGGAGTATTTCGTGGCCAATTTGGTCTGGAAATTTGAGTGGAGAGCTGTGGAGGGAGATGATGTTGACCTGTCGGAGAAGCAAGAGTTCACTGTGGTCATGAAGAATCCATTGCAGGTCCATTTATCCCCAAGAGTGAAATAAGAGCACCTCCACCTCAAAAGGCAGGGTAAGGCAAAGGCAAGGCAATTGTGGCAGCTTGCCTTTTTTTATTCCATCCCAAAAGATAAGGGTAAGGGCAAAAACAAAAAAACAAAAAGATTATGCAACAGAATATAAACAATTTAAAAATGCAAGAAATAAATGATTATGCAAGAAAAAGAAAATATAAACAATTTACAAATGCAAGAATAAAAAATTATTACAATTTACAAATATTGGAAGGAAAAAAGTTTGTATAAAGATTTGGTGTGGAACTTCTAGCTATTCGCCATGCGCTCAGTGAGTGTGCTAATTTTCATCTCACAGACATTATTGTGGAGTCGGATTCTCAAAAGGGTATCTTTATGATTAATGGTCGGGTTTCAGTGGACTCAGACCTGGAGGGGATTGTCTTTGATATCAGGCAGTTGGTGGCTTCTCTTTCTCGGGTTTCCTTTGTGTTTGCTCCTAGATCCTGTAACCGGGCTGCCCACTCTGTTGCGGGTTTTGTCTCTAAGCAGGGGGGTAATTATGTTTGGGATCATTTAGGAACTGATTGGTTGTTTAATTTTCTTACCTTTGATGTAAACCTTCACCTTCGTTATTAATATCATTCTCCAGCGTTTTGACAAAAAAAAAAAAAGAATAAAATTGTTATGTATTTATAAGGAAAACATTCATAATTTTTTGGTTTTTTTTTAAAAAAAAAATTATTTTATTTTATTTTTTGGATTCTTTTTTGCTCGCCTTCAGCCCAGGCAGAATTTGCCCGTGGGCTTGCCAGGGTTCGTGGGACCCATGGCTTGCCCGGGCTCCTAGTCGCCTGCTGGAGGGCTTTTGGGCTCGCAAGGGGGGCGTTTTGCCCGGTTTGAGTCTAGCGGTGGACTTGCTCTAAGTAAGAGAAGGGTTGTTTTGGTTGATTGTGTGTAATTAAGGATTTGTTAGAGACTCTTGAAAGTGTTTACAACATAAAAAAAATAAAAAATCTATGGGTTATTATTTATGTAACATAAATCACAATTTGATCCATTTCTCATTGTGTGAAATGAGTAACGTGCCTTTTAAGAAAACAAGGTAAGAATGGGGTGAGAGAAAGGAAAGACGGAAAGCTTTAATTTGAAACAGATGCTACTTTCCAGTAGAGAACAATTTGGTTTAATAGATTTTGCGTTTTGGTGTGTGCAATGTGCGTGTAAATGCCTTGCATTGCATTGCATGATGTATTTTTTTGCACAAGTAGCCACTCTGTTCAGGGCAGGGACGTACCCACTAGCACACTAACTTGGGCTAAAGCCTAGTTAACTTGGGCTAATTTAATACTCTAGCCTAGTTAACTAGTTAAATATCTAATTAAAATCCCTAATTGACAATTCATACAAGCAAGCAAGAACACCGAGATAAAAAAAAACTAATTGATAAACCTTAATTGTAAATCCATAATTGATACTTCATAAACTCTAAATAATCCCCAAAAATTTTAAAAGACAAGAAGAAGAAGAATGGAAAATTACCTTAGTTTTCTTTAATAAAGTTCGAGGACATGCATAATTTTCTTTTTTGTCGAAGAGCAGGAGTTTCCCCTAAGCGGATGCAATAGAGAGAATTCAATTTATTTATTTTTTGTTTGGTAAAGGAGAGAGGCAATGTCTATACCTAGTGGAAGTCTAATTTGCTTTTTCACGTAGGGTGTGGAGTTTAGTTCTTTTTATTTATTTGTTGGCAGCCTAGTCCTAGTGGGATTAGTAATAGTTTATTTGGGTGGGCAGCCTAATCCTAAGAGCATTTCCAGCAAGCAGGCTGGGGGGAGGGCTGGGGGAAAATGGGGTTTCCAGCAACACAAAGCTGCTAGGGCGAGGTGTGGGCCCCAGCAAAAAAAATTTGCCTGGGCTAGCCCTTGGGGAGGTCCAGCCCGAGCAACTAAACTCGTTTTGGGCTGACGTCAGCGCAGCTGTTTAAATTTTTTTAACGTTGACGAGTGCGTTGCACGGGCCAACCTTAAAAAAAATTTGACTCGCCCGCTACAGTGACCCGCCAACGGGTCTATTCCACGTGGCGCGCACTGAAGCTGTCCGATCAACTTTATTCCAAATCCAACGCTTCTCATTTTTCGCGAATAAAAAAATGAAAAAAAAAAATCGGAAGTCGCACCCAACGGCTCTCTTCCACGTGGCGATGCTTTGGGCGCTCCGATGAAGTTCTTCCAGCAATCCAACAGCAGCTGTTCAATCTGGTCAAAAAATAATGAAGAAAAATGAAAAAAAAATTTGAAAAAATTTGAAAAAATACCCAAAAAAATACTGATGTTTTTTCCTATAAATACCAACAAATACTCTTCACTTTTAACACCACCTCTTCATACATTTTCTTCTCATTCTA